TCGCTGCTGCTTCTTCCAATTTGACTCCTGGTGATTTGGCGGTTTTAACTGAGGAAGGGGAGGAAGGGGAAGTTGAGGAAGTGGTGAAGGTGAAGAGGACGGGGAGTACTGGGAGTAGGAGACAGAGGGTTGGGCCGAGGGGTCCTTCGCCTTTGGTTGAGGAGGAGTATGAGCACCCACCGCCTATGCCGCGTTTACCCTCTGTTGTAGCTCCCCCGGAACCCCCAGGTCGACAAGCTTTACACCCACCTAACGATATGGACAAACCCGTTCCCACTACCGCTCCTTCCGCTACTCCATCCGAACTTCCACCCTCTACGTTTACAGTTTTCTTGCAGTTGGGAAGGGAAGTGAAGAAGGTTACGATCGAACCTGGGATCTCATTCTCGTCTTTACGAGTCCTTTTCGTTGACAAGTTCTCGTATAACCCCGGTCAAGATGATTTTCCTGCTATCTATATAAGGGATCCTGCGAGTGGGGTTCAGTATGAGTTGGAGGACACGGATGAGGTTAAGGATAAGTGTTTGCTTTCTCTTAATATTGAACGTACGTCCCATCTTTTTGAGGTGTTGTTCGTTGGGCTGATTTCAAGGGGGTGTATAGCTCTAGATCAAATTAAGCAACATATCGATGCGCAGATCTCGACTCTCTCTCAAGATATCAAAGATCTCCGAACGATCGTATCGAGTAATCGACGCTCGTCACTACCTCCTCCGATGATAATGGGTCAACCGTTAGGCGAGAGCACGCCTACCCGTCCAACCGATCGTCAATTCCAAACCGTCGCTCGCAGGCTATCTCGTATCGTCACCGACGATAACCACCACCACCAACCCCCACCACCCCCATCCCAGTTCAACCAAATGCAACCCATCATGACGCAAATGACTGGACAGTCTTTACAGCCACAGATGACGGGCGGTTCAGTCTTGTCCGAGTATACTGGTCGTGTGGTTAACGATCTCAAAACCCAATTCGACGAAGTCCAAAACTTGCGACGCGATCTAGGGATTATGAGACAGTTGTACACAGAGTTTATCAAGCAAACCAAGGAATCCCTCGGGACACTCCGCACTCAAACTCAAAACGTTCGACAATTGGCTACTGCGAACGTCGGCGGTGCACGACAATATATCGATGATGGCAAAGCGAAATTGGACGTACGATCGCAGAATGTTTTGACCAAGATGGAGGAGTTGCAGGATTTGGTGGAAGGGATGAAGGATGATGTTATCAAGCGACATATCACTCCTAAACCTCAAGTTCTGAAAGGGATCAAGAGCGATATCGATACCGTCACCGCCGAGCTGAATAGTTTGAAGGAGCATATCAAGACTGTCAAGCCGATGTGGAAGAAGACGTGGGCGGAGGAGTTGCAGAATATAGTGGAGGAACAACAGTTCTTGAATCATCAAGAGGAGTTTTTGGGTGATTTGTTGGAGGATCATAAAGCTGTTTTGGAGGTGTACGGGCATGTGGAGAAGGTTATCTCCCTTCGCGGTTCGGGATCCGGTGGTCAAGCTCGTCGCTTACGAAGTGGAGGAGCGAATTTTCGACCTCCGCCACCTGAGGAAGGACATAATGGTCTGACAAGCGTCATGTTAGAAATCAGGAACGCGGCTGTTGATCCTGAGAGGAGGATGAAAGCTATCGAGGCTAATCAGAAGAATAGGGAGAAGACGCAGGCGCAGAGGGGTGATGAGTTTGAGGCGGAGTTGAGTGGGTTTGTTGCGGGGAAGAAGTTGAAGATGACGGGCGGGGCTGAGGAGGCTGAGAGGGTTAGGAAGAAGAGGGATGAGTTGGCGTTGAAGGCGATGTTTACTGGGGGTAGCGCTACTGGAGCTCTTCCCATGGCTTCACCATCGGGATCGGCTCCCCCGACGCCCAGCACTGCCTATATGACTGGCACGGAAGCTGACGACGAGTCTTGATTTCAATCCATGTTTCTTCGTGTCGCATCGTTCCTTCCCATCCTATACTTTCTCCTTTGGTTCAATCATTGGGACAATTTTTACAAGTTCAATCATTTTTTTCTGTAGCAGTCACACGACTTCGTAGCGTCCTACATACACATTCACTGTAATTTATCTGTGCTCCGGATGTGCCTATGATACGACGCTGGCTGTAGCTATCGTAGTTAGTGAAGGCTGTACTTATGCCAGTACATATAATGACATGATGAGATCGAAAGGGCGTGATGGGTGTCGTGAGTGGATTTAGAGATACATAGGTGTACATAATGCAGCAGAGCAATGCGACAGGGCAATACAACAAAACATGGTCGACGGCGCGAAATGGGAAACAGTTATGATAACGTTTGAGATGATCGGGTATCACGGTGATGTAGCTGGTGCCTTGCCATTAGCTCGAGGCCGGCGAGAACGCGATGGAAGGGAGAACTGGGGGAAACGCTTTCGCCAGGTGGCGTTTGGAGAAGTCGGAGGCGGTTGAGGAGACGTCGCAGACCTGATATAACGCGTCAAAAGCCGAGAATCACGTCAAAGGAACGATTCTGTTGCTCACTCGACGCGTTTCAGTCCTAATTCCTCGGTTCTGCTTTCGTCAGAGCCCTCCGCTCCTACATGACTCCCCGATGGCCCAGCTTCTTGGGCGTCGGTCGCTTCCATAATGGGGTACTTTTGATCTGGCACGATGATGTGAACGTGACGGGGAGTGTAGATGATATGAGAGAACTTGAACTGCATCTTCGTGGAATGCATTCAAGGGGTGCAAGTGAGGATGTGGGCCAAAGCGAGTTCGAGTTGAAGAAGGCTCGATCAAGAAGACAATGGAGAACCGCAGTGCCATCGATATGACGACAGACTCGGCGTATTTTAAGGCCTATGCACAGACATAAATGCAATTGAACCTTGCGACCATGCGTCGTTGGGCGACAAAAGCCGTTTTTCCCTTATTGTTCCTATAAGGAGACCAAACAGGGTTAGGGTCTCCGTTTTCGGCAGGTGCCTGTACCCGCTCGTCCCTCCAAATCGGAAGCTCGGCAACAGCCTCGCGCACTGAAAGATGGAAACGAGTTGGAAGAGAGAAGGCAGCGAGTTAGAGCGGGGACCGAGTGGTCGAGGCTAATATGTGAAGCAATCCGATTCGGTCGCGAATACGGTGGCATCATATGCGAAGCTTATGCAGGGATGAGATGGTGAAGCGGGACCGAGAGGGCTCAATGTGATCTTTTGGCAATAGCGGGACTGGAGCAAAACTGGCCATATCGATCTTAGGAACCGCTAAGATAGCAAGGCGCCAAGTGGAAGTACTGTGGATCTAATTCCCAACCGTGGCCATGCGATGATCCCTCGCAAGATCCCATTCTTCCTTGGGAAGATATCAGAAAATCAATTGAAGGGAGGAGGGGAAGCAGAGAACTTTACATTTGGGCTACCATAACGAAGACGAGAGCACCCGTAAACTTGCACGACGGTACCAAGAACTTCACCCTTCCAGAAACCAACGAATTGGTTTGATAGAGGAAAGCGGGATTTTCATGCGCGTTGGTGCTAAAATCACGGAGCGTCGCCACAATCGTCAATGCCAGCAGCGGCGAGAATCCACGTAAAGGTTGGGACGACGGGACAAGGGTATTGAGTCTCTTGGTTCTGAACTGAGATTAGTTCAGGATGTCGACTACATTGCTGTTCGTGTAGCTGTAAATGAGGAGATATCTTTCTGAAATAACCTGGAGAGTGTCGATCGAAGCTGACAAGGAATCGCATCAAGTTAGTAAGTAATCCAAGGTCATAAGTCGAATAAAATAACACACGGTGGACGGAAAGCATCAAGCTGTCTGTACTGGATAATGATGCGTCAAATGTCCTCCAATCATGGCGACATGAGGTTCGTTCCCTGAAAGTCACGAACCGACCAAAGGCTAAGTAGATCTTGCGTTTCTATGCGTTGTTAGATGAGGAAGAAAACACCGTCGGGACTCGGGAGTAAGGTGTGCATAAGGTGCTAGGAAAATGGACATAACGGTCTGAGTTTCAGCGTTTACTTATCTCCGTACTAACAGAACGCGTGATTACAGCCTGAGACTCGAGCCGTAAACACGAGTTTACGTCAAAAAGTACGCTCTGCGCAGAACAATCCGAAGCTCAGTGTGAATAGAGTTGGATGGGCCTGGTGTTCGCATCCAGCTGGATTTACTCAAAATGGGAGTCGTCGGGATCGGCTTCCAAGTCTTGATAACTACGAGACTACCAAGACCGACATGCACGAGAGCTGGGTTGTCCAATATACAGCTGAAACAACATCGCATCGGAATAGGTGCCTACACACTACACACATCGTCAGCAAGGACTGGACAGGGAGAAAGGGGAGACATGCCTGGAAACAGAAAGGAGGCAACTTATCTGTATTCAAAACTTGGACAAGTTACCACTTGGCCATCTCCGGTTCCCTAAAGATCTTCTGGAGCCTCACAAGATCCTGGCACCGTTGAAATGGATGGCAGATGGAAGGAAGGACTGCATTCTCAAAATATGGCGTGAGCCTAAGATCGGCACCTGTGAACGAATTACTCAGAGCATGTAGGCAGGTAGAGAATGTCGTCGGTGAATATACCAATTACCCTGCACGAAACCCAGTTCAACTATTATAACACCGGTACGACGGATATAACACCGACAGTAGACTCACCAGGTCCAGGTGCTTCCCTCATTCTCAAGTGCTTGGCTTCAGAAATCGCAAAATACTCCCCTCCAAGCCAAGACAGCGGCCTTCCCGAATCATGATATAAACCGGGAGGATGCCACCCGAGTCAGCGAGTTCCACTGGCCAGGAAGTCGTATACGTAGAAGCATGATCTGTTTGGAGAATAACAAGAGGGTGAATGGCATCTGGAAACATAAGAGGGTGGTGGGGGAAAAGTAGCGACACACGAAGCTATAGCAAAGTGACAAGTTTTAACGGAGCAAACAAAAGGAATATTGATATTCAAGTTAAGGATGCGAAGGATAGGAAGAAAAAGTACGAACCCTTTATATGCATTCCGAAACGGGGAATCGGACCCCGGGCTATCGCGATCACAGCAGTTATGTGCGTGAGAGGCGATAATGTTAGCCACTACACCATTTCGGAGATGAATGATAAGTGGAACTAACCTACACATCTCCGGATCCTGATAGCCTGACCGCTGGAAAATGGTGTTGAATACACGTACACAACTGAGCGCGATCGCAATTTATCCTTCGGGTTGTACGTGGGATGTCGCCGAGTCATGGTTGACGACTCTACCGTTTCACATTGGAGTCGCAGGTCTCAAGAATTCGTTGGAACGACCTGGAGGCGAGATTGATTGCACAGCCAGGGACGTTGGATGGGGTGAACGATGTCGCGCATACGTAGAGGGCATAAGGAAACACTGAGAACCTCTAGCCACTCCACCACATAGAAGGAAGAGCAAACTCAATGGACTGGCGGAGTCGCAGTATGGATGTAGGCGGGAGCAGATTAACGAGAGGCAGAAGTATGGATAGGGAGCGGTGAGAGAATCTCACCCAGCAAACAGGGAAGCTCGATTGGAGACATCAGTGACGATAGGGGCGTCCAACTTGAAGACCTCTTGCAGCCGATGCTGCGTAGAAGAGGTCAGCCACGCTAGTGAAGCGATGAAATGGTAACTACATCGACGGGGAGAGAGAATGCACCGATGGGTGCTTCACATGCCGAATTTTGGCCGAACTTCAGAGAAGGTCGTACACTTTGCCAGTGCGGATCTTGGTAGGAAGGATGCCAGAAATGTCAAGATGTCTTGGAGCCGAATAGACTCTGCGAGGAGCGTCAGACCAGCGACAAGACTAAAAGGTTAATGTGTGTCCGAGAAAAGATGACGACGACATGTCCACGCCTCATCGAGATCCTTCGTCCGTAGCCGCGCCATTGTCCCTGGCTTCTCACTTGCTGGTGCGTCATCGTTGTCCCCGAGGAACGCTCATGCAAATATCTCCAGGCCTTCCTGCTGCGAGGAGTTGCCATTCCCAAGTGAGCCGAGGGTAGCGCCCCTCCAACAGTACTATCATCGCGACGCAAGCTTGAGTACAGACCAATCGGTAGAGGGGCAAGAACGTACCAAATACATAACTGAATTCTCTACAAAGTACACATGCACATTAGCCCATTAGATCTATTCATAACGCCAACCGAACCTCTCAACGCTACGAGTCCCTCCTCGACAACAACCCACCCATCTCCATCTCCTCCACGTCATCATCCTCATCATCCACCTCTCCTCCTCTCCCGGCTTCACCACTACCACCCATCACAACACTCATCCCTTCCCTCATCTCCCTCCTCACACAAACCCACTCGCCAGCTATCACCATCACCGCCGCCCCTCCTCCCATCACTAACCAGAAAAACAAGGATGTGGGAAGGGAGGCGGAGTAGTATGTCGTCAACACCAGGTGGTTGAACAATAAAGTCAAGGAAAAGTCTAGAATATATCGAGGTCGACGGATGAGCGAGTATAAAGGGTATACACTGAAGAGACAAGTTGTCATCAACAATGAGGAAGGAAGAGATGTTCAAAACACACGTACTCAATCCCACAAGCAATCAACCAACAAATCCCGAGCACCCAACCTCTAACAGGATCGATCACCCCAACAGCCTCCACAACCCCCTTCCCGAACCCCAATCCTGGAGTCCTCATCGTCGTATTCCCAAGATTCTTCCCTCCACTCCAAGCACCAGTATAACTCGCCCACCTCTCTTCTCCATGAAGCAAACGAAAGGTCGGTCTACCAGCCATCTCCCTCCAATCCATTAACATCCCTACATCCGAATCTTGATTGAATAAAAGAGAAAATGAGAAGATGACGGGGAGAGGACGTACCGATACTGGCAGCCCCGCCTTCGTAGTCCAACGATCTCGGTTCGGCAAATACGGGGAGGAATAAGGGGATTAGGAAGGCGAGGGTTAGGTAGTGCAGAGTTTGCATGGCGACTATCTGAGATGCAAGGAGTAGGGGGTCCCATTGTGTGCTTGCAGTCCGTGGTGAAGGCATCCAAATGTTGAAATGGTCGTAATTAATGAGGATGGGAAAGGCTGGAGGTGAAGGAGTCGCGACACAGCGTCAAGTCAAGGAGGTACCCGGTCCGCGCTTGGGTTCGTTTGAAACCACCAGATGTCGTAGGGATATCACAGATGGGTCGGAGAGTGACGTGAAGGATCCCAATAGGTTATACAGGATGAACAACTCGTGGTCTCTGCGGGAAGGAACAATCGAATCACGAGGCTATAGTGTCCGCAAATAAAATGCAGATGATTGGAGGAGATAGTCCAGAACGTTGAAGCACAGGGACAAGGAACTTATGGAGAGGCAGAGTCATTGACACACTGGTGACGGACACACATGCAATATGCCCAAACAACGGTGTTTTATTGGGCGGGGAAGGCAAAACACTTCTACTCGTAACAGCAAGGAGTGGTGTAGTAGGGGGTCAAGAGAAAACAAAGACTAGCGAGTGAGTGGTTGTAAACGACAGTGCGAGCATTATTTGATGGGGGGTGGTCTACGTATGTGTGCAGAAAAAGACCATGGTACACAAGATGCGAAACAACAGATAAATAGAACAACGAAGGGGTGATTAGGTCCGTGATGTGTGTGTTGGTGATGACAGATGTTGTGTACAGACGATACAAAAAGAATGCAATGGGATGTGTGGGTGGCCCATATCAAAAGGACACAAAGGATAGAGTACGGAAAGGTCAACGCCTACGAAACCCCACCAATATCAACAAAACTGCGGAAACTGGCCGCAAAATTTGAAGTCAAGTCGGCCGCATCGTCGGCGAGATCCATAAAGTTGACAAAGGAGGCAGGGATAGGGAACCAAGATGATTCCATCGTGCTTCTCCGTTTTCGTGAGGATTTTGAGGAGGTGGTGGAAATGGATGAACGGTGTGTGAGGGGGTGGCAAGATGCGGGGATGGAAGCCGTTGGGGGAGGTTTAGAGAAGACGATGTGGGTTTGTGAGCGTGATGGAAGAGTACGAGTGAAAGCCGCGGAGGGGCGAGGGTGCGCGGCGGATGGTGCGCGCGAGGCAGCGGGTTTTGTCGGGCGGTAGACGAGGGCGTCGTGGAAGTCGAGGCTATCCGACTCCTGTTGGTCCTCATCATTCCAAACGGGGAGAGGGGAAATGTCATCGAAAGCTTCACACTCTTCTTCATCGTCCTCGTCTTCATCATCACTCATACACATAAAATTGCTTCGAGAGCGAGGGATACGATCTGGCGAAGATGAGCGACCTTCGAGACACGCAAGTGCATCTGATCGGTTTGCTACTCGTTGACCAGAAGTTATGGACATCGATCTTCGGAGCTGGTTCCACATGGATGTCATGATGGCTTCACTGCTCCGGACAGAAGATGAAGGTGAGAAGGCATCCCCAAAGGAAACGTTGGAAGAAGAGGTGGAGGGAGCGAAGCTTGAGGGAGCTTCCGACCTTGCGATCGATGATGCGAACGAAGGTTGGGGTTGGTGTCCACGAATGGGGAATGACGAGGGGGCGGGAGATGGTGATACGGGGGAACGTGAAGGAGGTGTTGGGAGGGGACGAGCATGTGGATTGGTCTTTGGAGGAACAGGCGGAAGAAATGCGGAGGGGGCAGGTTTTGGTGACGGGATTGGGCGGTGGAGGTCTCTCGATCTGCGACCAGCGCTTCGAGAAGGGCTGGGAGGCGGAATGGGTGTGAGAGGGGAGACTGAGGCGAAGTCATGCAGGGTGGGCTGAGGTGAGTCGAGACCACTTCAAAGGCAAGATCAGACAGTCATCAATGGCGTGAGAGATGTAAGACGTACAAAGAAAACGATAACAAGTCGGCGAATGCGGAAGATGGAGGTTCATCAGACTCATCGCTCAGCAGGTGTCTAAGGTAGCCGGTTAGCGCCCGCTTTCCACACAAGGAACAAGAGACACTCACGGTGATTGGGCGGGTTCCCAAAACGATGTTCGAATATCGGGTACGGTTCTGAGGTGCTTACTTGAAGCTTTCCGACGAAGACTGGCCTCGGTTAGAGACTGCGAGTCTGCCAGGTCGAGAGAAAGGAATGATCGTAGTTGGATGGAGTCTCGCGGAGGCTGCATACTACGATATAGTGTAGAGAGCTCGTCTGCTGGAGAGACCGTGCTCTTCCGTGAGGTAGATGCTCGATAGGGTTCCAATGAGATGGGTAACGAGCACTTGCGATCCTTGAGAATGGAATCGGTGAAATCGTCTTCATCCTCGACAAGGAAACTAGAAGCGAAAGACCTGAAATCTGTCATGGTGATGAACAGGATATGCCAGATCAAAGTCAAGGATGAGGAGGATTCGGTGAACAAGTGTCAGGAGGCTGTGGTTATATTTATATGAGAGAAAGAATGGTCGATCCATGCCCCTTGCGTTTGACTTTATCGGGCATGGGATTTTTGCGTTGACGTGCCATCGCCGATGGAATTACCAACGTGACGAGCAACCGGCCAACATTTCATGCAACAACGTAACCAAGTCCGGAAGCTGTTCCTTCGCAACTGTCACCAAACCCCTGGTCTCGACGCCCATTCGCTGCCTGCGCTCTCCTGCGTTTCGTCAACTCGATCTTGACTCACAAGCTTCGCTCGGAAATTAAAAGATTGGCTTTTGCTGCCCTCCACATCTCTGAGACACACATTTCGCACACTGGTTGATTCAATGTTCGACCCATCTCTTGCGCCAACCCACGAAGGCAATAACTCCTGAGCCGCCACCATCCGATAATTGATTTCGCTATCGCACTCTATCAACAGGTATCGTTATCCGGCGGCTCTGTTGCTCCGCTCTCTTCACCCATTGTTCCATTGTAGGGACACGTTGGCGGTCCATATTTGTGGAGAGCTGCAACGGCGGTCCGCTCGCCTCCCCGCATATCTCTCCTGCTCAGCCGGTGCGGTGCAGAGTCTTTCTAGCTTAGATCTTTGAGCTCATCCGGAATGGAAGCGCAGCTGAAAGTGGTCAAGCGTGAGTAGCCAAGCCTACCTGCGGTACCTACACTAGCGGGATTTTTTGGCCATCCATGTGAGTCGCTGCATACCCAGTGACCAGGGCGGTGTCGACC